AGCCTCTCCATTCTTATTAAGACCCTGAACAAGTTAGACATTTACATGACTCTAATCTGAGTGAAATTACTGGCTTTCTGGAACTTTTAGGAGATACTGAAATACAACAGCCTCTGTGCATGAAGGATGATGTTGGTAGGAACATAGAGAATGAATCCTCTTACTTTTAGTTACCTCAAAAGAAACTACCTACTGTGCTGAGGTACAAAGGACAGGAAGAGAATAATTATTAATCCGTCTCTGACACAGGATCAACACTGTGTGCTCCACACAATATTGCAATGTAGAGATATTTTAACCCTTGCAATAGCTGTGATGATCAATGCCATTCTTCATTTGTCTTCTTCCATTTTAATTTTCCTTTTCTACCACGTGCTGATTGTTACTAAGAGACATGGGAATGAGGCAATACAGACTTGTCAGCTCAAATTCTGAAAGAATTTATGGTACTGGAGCTGTTTAGTATAGGCCCAATGTGGTGGCAGAGTTTTGGGCCAAGGGTGAGAGACGGTAAAAGAAAAAGTTGGAATAAAAATAGGTTTTGCCATGTTTCAAATGTAAGGAGTCATGACAAAAGCTATTTGGACTGTGCCCATAACCACTGCAACATGACAAACACAAAGACAGTTAGAACGGAATTTGGCATAATTAGTTCTGTTTCAATCCAAAAAAGAAAAAAAAGCATAATTGCAGCAAATGCTAACAGCAGCAGCAGCCATCCATTCATTCAGCCAGCCAGCAGTAACATTCCATCCCAGTAAGAAACAGTAGCCATATGTGACACTCACTTTCCCAGGAAGTCCCACACAAACCCCCCAACGTGTTGCGGTGCAGGGACTGACACCTGGTATGGAGGATGCAATTTGTGGGAGGCGTGCTTTCTAAGAAAAAAGCAAGTCCAAAAAAACCCCACACATATAAAACAACTCATTGGAAGACAAAAATGGAAAGAAAGGGTGGGAAAACAAACGAAATACATCAAATGAAAAGTCAGGAACACAGAGAGGCAATTAGGGGATGGCAATACAGAAAACCAACAGTTAGTAAAAACAACTGAATAGACAAACATGTCCCTGTACAACGACACAAGCAAAGGGGACCTATTAAATTGCTCATCCAAAGGAAATGCTGGGTAAGCCCAATCTCCCACATCCCCTTTGGATGGAACAAAGACCTACCCACAAAAGAAATTGTAAATTAATGAGCCACTGCTTTGAGTTTGCTGCTGACTCTAGTGCACTTCTCAAGCTCTTTCATTATATAGACTTCATGTAAATATGGTATTTTGTGGCTCCATACCCTCCCAATCATAACTGAATAACACCCTTGTAGAACTACAAGAAAGAGAGAGAGAGACAGAGAGAGACAGAGAGAGACAGAGAATGTCCATATTTTAAACTGGATTTAATGCAGTTCCCCCTCTTTGAAAAGCATAAAAAGATGCCATTTTGTTTTTTATTTTGTCTCCCTCTCCAATTTATCCCCTGTCTTCTATTTTCCTTTTTCTTGGTTTCCCTTTCCTTCTCTCCCTCTGCTCATACAGTCTTGCTACTTATTTCCGTTCTCCTCAGGGCATGCTGTTTAACTGCCTTATATTCTTTTTCAGTGGGGCTGGAAGTGCAGGGAAGGACTTTTGACCTTCTGTTGCTGAAAGTTCACATCTTCATCACTATCAGATTTGTGCTATGAATGTAGCTCATTTCTTCTCCACTATAAAGTAGTGACTGGCTTCAGCAAATAGAGCTGGTTGGCTCTCCCTTATTTCTAACTGCTCTGAGTCTTTCTAACTGCCAAGGGTCTTCTTTGCACTGAAGAGCTTGAATAGCAAAAAAGCAGCCAACATGTTCTTCATGGATAAAAACCAGACTGTAGCTGGAGAGAAGCCTTTCTAATACTGTCATGGATATAAGCTGAGCATGTAAAAATGTTTTAAACAAGCACGGAAGACAAAAAAAACAGACCCAACATGTACACTTAGCAAACACATCTCTGCTCATGTGTGAAAATATGAGAACTTTGTGACTATGGGGAGAATGAAGAATAGTTTGGACAACATTACCCAGGGACAGTAAGTCATGCATAAATTAATATGGATACATTAAAATTAGACTCAGGAAACCTTGTTATAAGGGTCTAAAACCTTCAGCTTTTTTCCTACTACAGTTAAATTACTGTTCGACCTGAAATGACTGCTCACAGTAACTGATGAGTTCATGGTCTGCCAGACCAACGATATTCAGCTTCTGCCTCTGGAGGTGAAAGACCTTTTGACCCAGTAGATGGGTTCAGAGAGTGCATGAATCTGATAAGTTTTTTATCCTGATTTACACAGTCCTAGGTAGAACACTAAATGCTGATCATAGTAGTGGCCTCTTCTTTGCTTGCATACTTAGGACAAATTTCCCAGCCTTCTACACCATGAATTTGAGAAGGAAGGAGAACTACTTTATGCCATCTCATCTGCCAAACAGAGAGGAGGACAGGATGAACAGATAAAAAGCCACTTGGTACTTTACAGCAGTAGAGAGAAAACACAGAATAAGACCAGCTTGCATTGAACAGTCATAGGTTACTGAAAAATTATCAGTGCAGCAGACTGTGGAATGACATCCAGGCATTGTGATACTATGCTTCCATTAATATGGGAAGACTTTAACTTGTGTTTAAAAACAGTAGGAAACAAACATCACAATACAAAATTGCTCCCTAATTATTTTGCAACTCTCTGGAATTGCATTTCTTTACTGAAAAAGTCACTTTCCAACATTTGTAAGGTTGAGTACCACTGCACTAGAGTGCAAGAGAAACCAACTTCCAAAGGAAGTGGTGCTTGCTCCTACCCTGGGGGTCTTCAAAAGGAGGCTAGACAATCACTTAGCCAGGGTCATTTGACCCCAGCACTCTTTCCTGCCCATGGCAGGGGGTTGGACTTGATGATCTGCTCAGGTCCCTTCCGACCCTACCAATTATGAAACTATGAAGTTCTCATATTTTTCTTAGACTATAAACTCCTGAGGACAGAGGCCATGCCTTTATGTGCCTGTAAGGTGCGTAGCACAGCAAAGTCCTGATCTTGACTGCGGCTTTTGAGAGCTAAATCTTGAACATTAGTGCAGAAAAAGTGACAGATAATGGCATTTTCTTTCTTCTGTACGTCTCTTCTGAGGGAACAAGTTATGAGGAAGGCTGAATATTTCTAAGAATTTTTTCCAAAATATGATTCCAAAAATTATTTCAGCCCTAGAGCACTTTTGAATAAAGACCATGAATCAGTTAAAAACACCTCCACCCTTAGTTACTCTGATTAAAAGATAATGCAGTTACGTTCTCAAACTAGTATCAGCTGTCCTGACAGCATCAGGTTAGCTATATGCTCAACACAGATATACTACGAAAAGTAAAAAAATTCAGACAAATATGACATGAAACTGCCCCTGCTATTTTCCTTTGCCTCCCTCAAGGACACACTCAGTAGATCTAGTCTCTATATCCATTGCCCAAATGTCCCATTAAATACAGCACATATCATAGGTGGGGTTAAGTAGTTTAGCAAGGAGAAAAGATGGACAAAAAGGGGGGATTACATTTTTCAATTTCAGCTGCTTTGCCTGCTGCCACAGGCATGGAATATTCTTGCTAAATAAAAGAAAAGCCTATGGAAAACAACCCAAGCCAAAACAAGAGAAAAGGACCAAGCAAATAGACAAGACTGCGGAAATACTTCAAAATGTTATTCCAGTTTCAGTGCAACAAGAATGAAGTCCATCCAAAGACTGATCCAGGCAGAGTCATCCAAATTCACTGGTTTCAACATAGTGCCATCAACTACCAATATTTTTTAAATGGGTGCAGAGACATTTTTATGTATGTCACTTCTATATCTGAGTATGCACTACTGCAAAGGAAGAGATTGTGAGAAAAAGCACAAATGCATAAAGTAGAGGCACAAATTACAGAAGTCAGGAGGCAAATATACCTTCAAGTTAATTCACCCTGGAAATGCACTGAAAGGAGAAAATAGAGATCTGAATGGATTTAGAATCTACACAAGTCCTTAGAAAGCCATTTTTCAAGCCCCTTCAGAAAACTGTAAAATTTAAGTGCCAGCCACATTCTGCCAACAAACAAGTGGCAACATCAAGGAGGAGATCAAGTCCTGCATTCTTGGCTTTAAGTGCGTCACAAAGAAAAGGTCTCTTCCTCACCTTGTGTACTTTTTCTAATATTGAATGCAACACAGTTAAAAATTTTGATATGCTAGTGTGATGTGAAGCCATTCTAACATCCAAAAGGCACTTGACATGGCCCAGGCATGCAAGAAAATTAAGTTAATGTTTCATTTAGTTTCTCCTGGGTAGTCAATCTTCAAAGTAAATAACAAAGTCAACAAAAAATACATCTACTTTTACACCCTTCCCTACCCAAAATTAAAAAAAGAGAGATTAGCGCATTGCAAAATTAAGTGTCAGAAAGTAACATAAGCCTTGTTTTAATGGAAGATAAGTAAGTAAGGTGCGAAGCTGGTTTTCATGCCTTCCCTGCCATTTACTACAAGCAATTCTGATCCAGAAAGCCAAAGGGTTCACCACACACCACCCAACTTCTCAAACAAATCATGAATAAGATCTAGAAAAATAACAAGACCATCTATAAGTGGGACTCGGACAATGAATGCTGCAGGTTCTTTGCCCAGTTTGGAGTGGTGAGCAAAGATATTTTACTGAATTATTAAACCAGAAGTTTAAATGTAATTTATTTTTATTCCCCAAACACACCATGATCTCATCACTTTTTTTACCATCTCCTTTCCCTTAAGACTCAGGGGAGACATTCAGACATTGTCTGAAGAGTCAGGCAGATAAGTGTAACAAAGGAGCTCTACATTTCTAAAATACTGAGATTGAGAATCAAAGTTGCAAAACCCAGTGTTTTCCCCAAACAATTGTTCTCCACTTTCTTCACCCCCCCTTTGCTCCCTTCCACCTACATATCCATCTCACCTCTCCAATTCTGCTATCTTCTTATCTTTATCATTCTTCTCATTTTCCATCTCCTTCAGTATTTCCAGAAGGCGATCTACTTCAGCTTGAGCTTTGCTGGATTCTTCCCGGTACCGGGCTACCTCCTTCTCCAACTGCTGGAATCGCTCATTCAGTTCTGGGATGGCTCTAGCCTCCAGTGTTGCTTCATGAGCCTGCAAAGAAAAGAGTTCAAGAACCATCTTGTACATATACATTGTATCTTTAATGACCATCATAGGGGACTCTGGACCTAGAGAGCTACTTCTAAAGAATGAAGTGACTTATTAAAATGGAAATAAGTGTACTGAGCACTGGGCTCCTAAGCCAGGGTGTCAAACTCACTTGGCCTCCCTGGGCCAGATCCAGACCATCGGATTCCTCCAGATCTAAAGTAGGGTTTAACGCAGCTGTCACTTGCCACATTACTGCCAAAATGTATTCCCTGTGGGGCTCAGAACTGACACAATGCACCAGATCCAGCCCAGGGACTGATTTCATGTTCTAGATCTAGCCCTCAAAGCCAGATAAATTAGGTACCGCTGGTATACAGGAAAAGTGCAAAGAGTTTGTTTCAAACTGAATCTTGTTCTCCTGAAAAATGTATATAAGCTGAGAGTTAATCAAAAAGTTTCTAAGCAGCATAAAAGTACATATAAATGGAAATACATTCAGACATTCAAATAAAGCAACCAAGGGGACTGGAATCCCAGGTGTCTCAGAGATAAATTCTCAGCACAGCTATGGAGGAGAGGGGCAGAGAGCAAAGTTGTCTTCATGTGAACTTCCAGCCCTCATTTGGTCTTGGATGCAGAACTAGCCCTTGATGTAAATTATAACAGCTTGAGGGTTCCTCAAACTTGCTTCAGTTGGCAGTAATTTTCAAGGAGCTTCTTTGCCAACCACGAATAGACAAACACATTTTGTACTCATCTCAGCCTTTCCCAAAATACACCTATGAGATGCAGAATTGCAGCTGCAGCTTTAAAAAACTCACTCCTTTGTGCATATATGTCCTCTATGTGAACAGGAGATATACAAGGTGCCAAGATTCTGCTCTAAAGTGTAGTAAATCTAAATCATCAGAACTAAGATGCCAAGTGCTGCCATTAAATGTAATCAGACATAATGACAGCAAAAATAAATGTTAGGATAGATTTTTTTACTTTTGGAAGACCAACTTTAATATACTAATAGTACTAATACAAGAGGTGTAGCTTTTGCTTATAGTTTCCCAACAAGAAGTTATCTCAAAAATGTCAGTTCACTGAGCCTGAAATACTACATTTGAGCCATCTTAGGTTCAATGAATGTTGAACAAAAACAAAAAAAAATTGTGACAGAACAGTGAGAGGCCACGGTGAAGAAGCCAGTTTTCCACCATCCAGTTTTGGGGCCAACATGCCAGGTAGACTTATCTTGGGGCCAGGAATTTTGGGGGTTTCATGTCCCCAGCCCTGAGACAATCTGCTTGTGCATCTGTCCTGAAATAGAGATCCTGAGAATGGCAGGTCTCAAAAAGGGCAGTGTGGCTGAAAGCAGCAGGCCTAGGAAACCAGCCATACCAGCAGATCATAAGGGTGCACAGTTCCAGTTCACTTAGCAGCCTGATTCTTTCCTATTGAATTTGGTTGCATATCCAACCTCTTAAAATGCTTGTCTTAATAAATGCTCTTCTACATCCTTTAAAGTCATCTAAGATATATAATCAGATGATCAGAAAATTTGGGGGAAAAAAGTGAAGCTGGGTTGCTAACTGGATTACGTTGCTATAGCATGCCAAATAATCTATAAGAGTTAATGGAGTTCTATCAAGAGACTCCTGGAATTTTATTATTCCATATTAATAAAAGCACTTCGGCAATGTCCCAAAAGACTCTACTGAAAGGAGGAAATCAATTTCATTTTAATTTTTTTTTTAAAAATTAGCCAACAAGCTGGAGTGCCTGGTTCTTATAGAATTAAATGACTACTTACACAACAGATGTTACTGGGAAAGACTCATAACCCATGCTATTTGTATACAGTACACATCATTACAGATGCTCTCATCTCACATAAAGAAAATGTTATGTGATTGTGTGCAAACTGGAAACCATTTCCTGGACTGTAAGTTACTCACTGACTGTGGCCCATTTTGTGGGTTACATTGACAATTGTTATGCAACTGTATCTAAAATTCTAATGTTATTTTACAAGAGAAATCCAATGCATTTAGGTTTCCCACAAATTTGCATCAAGATCTGGAAGACATTAAATTGGCAATTTAACACTACAGGATTCATTTTAGCAACATTTTTAGAGTAAAAAAAAATTCAAATACAAATTCAAAATAATTTTTTGCTTAGGTTTTCTCACTTCCAAAGCAGGTCTGATACTGAAAGTTACAAAACATGCTGAGGTCTATGAATGGAAGGAAGTACAACGTATTATTGATAAAGAACACAAAATTGTTTTCCCCTTTAAGTATGTAATTCCTAGTCTTTGACATAACCTTATCTTTATTGTCACATTTGCATAGTATCAAACTACATAGCTAAACTTGTAGAACAGTTATAATTATACCTCTATTTTCACTTACAGAACTTTTGGACATATTACTTTGGGGATAAACTCACCCGTGTTTCATTTTTGTTCAATAATGAATTTTGGAGAGGTAAATTTAAGCAAAAACCCCTTAACCCATTTGAATAACTGAAAAATCATTTTGCTTAGGCTGGATTAATTTCTGCACATTTTCCTTCCCTGACCTCAGTGATCCAGGTGACAAAGGGGAAAATCAAAGGTGTTAAGATACTGCTCTCTCAAGAATTTAAACTGTTTTCACAATTTTTGTTGACTGCAATATTTGGCAAATCCCACATTTTTATTTTAATGTATGCATTGTCTTTTATTGCCAAGGCAGGCGACATAGGAAATGGTTATTCTTCTGCCCTGGCAACTCAGCATTACAGGACACAGTCTTAGGCAATTGTAACTACTGCATTAGCTGAATCATTACATTTGTCTTCTGCTTGTACTGTTTTTGAAAGGGAATTGGGCAAAATTGTTCCACATGTGGCCCAGAAGCTGCATACAACACGTGAGGGATTACTGTGCAGCTCCTGGGCTTCTACCTGGCTGATGCACCCCTTATTTTTCCAGTTTATGCAGCAACTGGAGTCTTTAGGCTCCCTGCCTCTATGAGAATCTACTTTCTGCTCCTGCCCCAGGGGGTGGGGTGGTGCAGCAAATGGCACCAAGGAAGCCCATGGTGAAGTGGTGGGAGTGGCATGGCCTGTGTGCCCATGGCTGGCGCTATTCTCACCCCGATGGTGTGGCCCAGGCATAGTGTTCCACATTTTCAGCTTTATCTATTTTAACTGATAAATTCCCTGATTTTTTTATTGAAGTTATTTGGTTTTAACTGATTTATATCCACTTTTCAGTTCACTCAATTTTACTGGATACACAAGTGGGGGTGCTGGTAAGCTAAAAGTGCTGGTTACCTGAGGCATAGGTTTCCAGCTGGACAAGTGAGGGGGTGGCAGCGGCTCCATGGGGACCAGGGGAAGGAGGCGGGAGCTGCTGCCTAGGGGTGCAGGGATCCCAGCTCTGACCCTGGGCAGGGCAGAAGGGGCCATGGGAATCACTCCTTGGGTGGGCAGGTCCCAGCTGCACCCTGGTGTCTCTGGGTTCGGCCCTGCCTCTAAAGATGCTGCTGGGAGCTGCAAGACTCACTGGGGGGCAGGTGGGAGAGGCTGGTCCCGCTTCCTGCAACAGGTGCTGCACCCAGCTGCTCCGCACGGGCCTGGGAGGGGGAGGTGACCACCCACAGTCACTGCTGGCATTGGCAGTCAGCAGGGATCATGGACCACCCGCAGATGCCGCCGGCGGTGTCAGCAGTGGGGTGGTGAGCGGCAACTGCCTGCAGGCACCGCTGATAGTGTTGGTAGCGCCTTTTCTAGGGGGTGCACTGCCACGCCCCAGGGGTGTACATGCACTTGCATGCACCTGCACATGTCGCTTCTGGGGCTAGGGACAGACATTCAAAAATCCTGAGCCTGAATTGATTCAATCTTTGCAGGTTAGTCTAACCTGGCTAGGCTGAACCAGACAGACATTCTCTCTGGACTGAGGAATTTCAGGTACATGCCTGCAGTGGCTCAGGCTAGAAGGTGGAGGGCACTAAAGCAGCCCTCCCTTCCCTTCTGCAGGGAACTGAGCTGAGGGGGGTGTGGCCAGGCCCCAGTAGGACTCTCTCATTGGGGAGGTCTGCCTGCACGTTCCCAGGCTTTTCTGTGCTGGCTGCTCAAGGGGTGGGAGTCTTGCCAGCTCCCAGGCCCGGTCTAGCACTCTGAGGCAAGCAGGGGATGTGGAGGGGTTGCAGTACATGCATCTGTTGATGATATGGAGATTTTCAATCTCCCTCCCTGCTTCCTCATGCTGTCTGCAGCAAACTGACAGGCAAGCAATCCAGCTGGGGGCTGATAATGATAACAGTCTATTACCTGATTAGCAAAACAATGGCCTCTCTCCATTACTTCAGACTTCTAAAACAGGGTACTGGCTGACGTGCTGATTAGCTCCAAACAGCCCTAAGCAGCCACTGTTCTGTCAGCCTGCCCCAGTGAAACTGGAGAGAGGCACTCATGTAGACACCTCTTGGCATTAGCTAGTATACCACGTGCCTAGGGTCTGTGGGGCTGGGATCCCTGCTGTGGGAGAT